AGCACCTTCTCCTGCAGATGAGATATTTCTGTTCGATTTTGCTTCGTGCGGTTCTATGTATTTATTCGAAGGCCTGGAGGAGAGGATCTGATGTACTTGCGAAGTAAGAATAAAGACATATCAGTCTTTCTGGCAGTGGGTATTTCGGTAGGGCTTCCCCGGGAATCATCCCAGTTACCACCCAGTCCCTGTCCCTCTTCCCATTGCTGCCGTGGTTAAAGTGGTTGGGAAAAACATTTCCCGTCCCCTTGAAATCCCCCCGGGCTCCGGTGCGGAATTAATATGCGATGCAAAGGAACTTTCTTCTATGCCGGTACATATGGCAACTTATGTATGTGATGGAGTCTAAAATTATCCAGCCCTTCTTAAAATCCATGTGTCCTGCTCCCAAGAGCTGCCATCCTTCCCAGTGCTCAGCCACCTGCAATCTGTTCTGCCTGCGCGTTTCCCATTATGTAAGTGCGAGGATTAATTGCATCGTTAGGTTCTCCCGTGTCCCTGCCGTGGCTCCCATCTTCGCAGAAGGTCGCGCTTCTGACGCCGCTTCTGTTTTCAAAGGGATCGGGCACTGGGCTGGTTTTATTTTATTTTTAGTCTTCCCTTTTATCTTTTTCGGCGATGCCCCACTGGGAGCTGCTCCAAGATTGCCGCGAAGGACGCGGCTGGGCTGGCTGCGCCGGGGTGGGCGTCTCTCCGGACCCGGCGCGCGCAGGAGCGCCGAAGCACCGGGGTGGCCACGAGCTGGGGGTGGGGAGCTGCTGCCTGTCGGGACATGGCTTCTGTCGCGACCATCCTCCAGGGACCCAAAGCACAGGGCTAGAAGTTTTTTTCCATGCCTTGCCCTTAGCCGGTGCACTGCCGGCGGGAGGTGGGAAGCCCTGTGTCCAGCTCGGGGGCCACCAACAAAGGAAAGACATGGAGCTGTTGGAGCGGGGCCAGAGGAGGGACAGAGAGATGCTGGGAGGGCTGGAGCCTCTCTGCTGGGAGGACAGGCTGGGAGAGTTGGGGGGGTTCAGCCTGGGGAAGAGAAGGCCAAAAAGGGGAGACCTCAGAGCCCCTTCCAGTGCCTGAAGGGGCTCCAGGAGAGCTGGGGAGGGACTCTGGGTCAGGGAGGGGAGCCGTGGGATGAGGGGGAACGGTTTGACACTGACAGAGGGGAGATTGAGATGAGATATTGGGAAGAAATTGTTTCCTGTGCAGGTGGTGATCCCCTGGGGCAGGTTGCCCCGAGAAGCTGTGGCTGCCCCATCCCTGGAGGTGTTCAAGGCCAGGTTGGACGGGGCTTGGAGCAACCTGGGCTGGGGGGAGGTGTCCCTGCCCAGGGCAGGGGGTGGCACTGGGTGGTCTTCAAGGTCCCTCCCAACCTAAACCATTCTACGGTTCTATGATTTTCCCCGTGAATTCCCTTGGGAAAGGCAGGCCGGAGGCAGAGCAGCGGGGGAGCCGTAATTTGGCTGTGGCTGCCCAGTCGCCCGGAGGTGGCCAATCTGGAGGGAGGACGACCCCACCAGCCCTCACAGCTCCAGGCTCAGCAGCTCCCGAGCGATCCTGCCCACCCAGAGCGGCGTCCCCACGGGTGACGGATGTCGGTTTGGATCCCCCCACCCCACAGAGCCATGAACGGGTTCTGCGATGTCCTGTGGAGTCTCCTCCTCGAGGGCACAAAGCTCCCCGGCATCGGACCCCTCTGGAGCTGGAGCTGGTGCGGAGGAGGTGGGCGCCTGGTGCCCCCCATCCTCTGCCACCACCGTCCCCAGCCCCGGCGTCTGCTTCCCCGGAGCCGCTCTGTGCCGTGGCAGCTGCTGGTGCCATCCGCGCTCCCGGGGAGCCTTGTCACAGCGCCGTGTCACAGCGCGTTGGAGCCAACTGAAGTGTAATTGGGAGTAAATGGAGGAAACGGGTCATTTGCAAAATCGGTGCTTGAGTGGAGGGAGAAAAAGAACCCTGACGCATCCCATCCCTCCGCACTCGGCTTCGCGAGGGCTGGCGAGCGGCCGTCCGTCTGTCCGGCCGGTGGCTCCCCGGAGAGGGAGCAGAGGGAGAGCCCCAAAGTCCGCAGGGTCTGCACACTCTGCACCTCCCGGCGTTTTGGTGGGCTCCTGCCTTCTGGCGGCTCGGCATGGGGAGCACACCAGGACCTGGCATTTCTGAAGCGTTGGCCTTCAGGGAGTCACTCCTCCTCGGTCCTGCCTCTAGAACACCCCTTCACTGGGGATGTCCGTGGTGTGGCTGACATCTGCCACCACCTCCCGCTCCGGACCACGTTCTGTCCTTAAAACCAGTTGGGGCCCCTGCTCTTTTCTCCAGCTCTTCTCCCAGATCTCCTCCGTAGCATATCCGCTGGCAAAGTGGAATAATCGCTAGAAGATTCTGGGTGCGTGCTTCCTTCCGGAAACCCGTCTGCTTTTATGCTGGAGGTGAGCGCGTTCGCTCTGCCAGGGGCCAGGCCATCGCTGCCCTCCCCTTCGCGACGCTCCTTCCCGAGCAGCTCTCTCCGCGGCACCCCGGTGTCGGTGGCTGCTGCCCGCCCTGCCGGCACACCGGCTCCAGGGCTGGGAGCGAAGCCTCCCCCGCGAGCGATCGCTCCCCCGGTGCTTTGCACTGAGCGTGTTTTGGTGAATCAGACTCACCGAAGGTGACCTTGGTTTTATTACATTAAACTGTCAAGACTCACATTTCCAAGCGTTTGATTTACGCCCGGGATGCGTCGTGACAGCAAAGTCCACGGTGTTTCCTAAAAAGGTGTCGCTGCCAGCTGGCCTCATTGCTCAAGATGTGGGATTTTACAGCTCTCCGCATCTCAAGTGGAGATCCGTGCCTCCTTCCTGAGGCAGCCAGCGGCAAAGCCTGGGTCCCGCAGCATGGCCAGCGCGGCAACGCCAACACGGGCCAGCTGGGGGTGGATCTCCAGCAAGGATGCTCAGGTGGATCTTGAGCCAGGATGCTTAGGTGGATCTCCAGCAAGGATGCTCAGGTGGATCTCCAGCAAGGATGCTTAGGTGGATCTCCAGCAAGGATGCTCAGGTGGATCTTGAGCAAGGATGCTTAGGTGGATCTCCAGCAAGGATGCTCAGGTGGATCTTGAGCAAGGATGCTTAGGTGGATCTCCAGCAAGGATGCTCAGGTGGATCTTGAGCAAGGATGCTTAGGTGGATCTCCAGCAAGGATGCTCAGGTGGATCTTGAGCAAGGATGCTTAGGTGGATCTCCAGCAAGGATGCTCAGGTGGATCTTGAGCAAGGATGCTTAGGTGGATCTCCAGCAAGGATGCTCAGGTGGATCTTGAGCAAGGATGCTTAGGTGGATCTCCAGCAAGGATGCTCAGGTGGATCGTCAGCAAGGATGCTTAGGTGGATCTCCAGCAAGGATGCTCAGGTGGATCTTGAGCAAGGATGCTTAGGTGGATCTCCATGAAGGATGCTCAGGTGGATCTTGAGCAAGGATGCTTAGGTGGATCTCCAGCCAGGATGCTCAGCTGGATTTTGAGCCAGGATGCTCAGGTGGATCTTGAGCCAGGATGCTTAGGTGGATCTCCATGAAGGATGCTCGGGTGGATCTTGAGCAAGGATGCTTAGGTGGATCTCCAGCCAGGATGCTCAGCTGGATTTTGAGCCAGGATGCTCAGGTGGATCTTGAGCCAGGATGCTTAGATGGATCTCCATGAAGGATGCTCGGGTGGATCTTGAGCAAAGATGCTCAGGTGACGAAGCGTGGTGCTGAGGCAGGCGTGCCCGCGGGCAGGGCTAACGAAAGCCAGGGCAGCCCCTCGAGACCTGGTGTGGTGCCCACTGGTGCTCCCGAAAGCTGGGAGGCTGCCGCGCTGCGTGCTGGGGATGGCCATCCAAAGGTGAGTTACCCCTCTTTGTGCGCCCACACCGAGCAGCTTCCGTCTCCCCTCGGGTGTCACCGTGGGTCTCAGCAGACCCGCACAGCTTTTCTCCTGCACTTCCCCGGGCCAGAGGTGTTTTCCATCGTGTTTGTGGGGGACTGGAGTTGGGGGCGGTTGGGCTGGGGAGGCGGGGAGCGCTGCGCACCCTGCGAGGTGGTGGCTTTGCCGGGGGAGCCGGGCTGAGCTCCAGCGGCTTTTCTCCCTTGAGGAGCGTTGTGGGCAGCGTGGGCAGGGACCCGAAACCCCCGG